GTTCAACGCAGTATTCCAAGTGTTATTTCAACCATAAACCTAAAGAATGAGAGGATATATCTATCTATATCTACATCTATTGGCTTATATCTATATCAAGAATGGGATATATATCTATATCTATATCTATATCTATATCTATATATATATCTATATCTATCTATCTCTCTCTCTATATATAATTTTAGAACGTGAAGACTTAGTTCTCACATTTGGAAAGGCATGATAGGCATTTGGCTTTGTGGGGAGAGGTGAATCTCAGTGGTAGAGCTAAGCAGTCCACTATTTTGAAAAGGTCAGCCTCCCTGTTAATACGTTGTACTTATTTAGAAGAGTTGTACTCCAGTTGGCAGAATCTTCATGTTTGGAAGACAGAGTTAAGATGAGACATATATTAATTCCTGCTGCGACAATGACTTCCAAATCAAATTGAAGGAAACAGCAAAGCCTCTGGCTTCTTCTACATCATAATGTTAAACGAAATGCTGAATCTAGAACACATAAAAGCTGACTTGTGCCTTCATGCCATATTCCATAGGTCTTATCCTTAACTTCTAGCAAATCCCTTAGAAATCACATGGATTAATAAGAGATCAGGCCCAGGAATGGACCATGAGGATTCTTGCAAAAGTGTCTTATTAGGATACAAATCTTCTATTCTTTAAAAAGTATTGACTAGGTTAATGTGCAAGGGTCTGATCTTATACAAAAAGAAGAGAACATCTAAGAAAGAAATGTGGTATTTTTTCTGGATGTATGGAAATTTGCTTAAGAAATGTTGTCAACTTTTTTGGGGAGTCATATGCTGAAGTCTGTCAATGGACATAGGTGCAAATGCCACTTTTGCTGAACTTCATTCACTATGTATCTATTTATGTATTCACCTCTTCCTATCTATCTTCCTTTGTCCTTTCAAGAATTTAACTGAAATATTATGTATGATGGCATATTAGGTATTGTGAAAGCTAAGCTTAATTGTCAACTTGATGAGCTTGGAGTTGCTTAGGAAATGAGAAAGCACATTCCTGGATGTGTCTGGAAGGATCATGAAGGAATGGTCTTGGATACCTAGTACTTGGCCCCTTTCTTTCGGGCACTGTTCCCTCCTGTTCTGCTTCCTGGCCACCATGAAGTGAGCAGTATTCCTCCTCAAGTCCACGAAGTCCTCCACCATGATATTCCTTTCTTTGACCTAGCTGGATGTGGACTGAATCCCCTGAAAACAAGAGCTAAATAAATCATTTTCTCCTTTGTGTTGTGGGTAGCAGGTATTTGTTTCCAGAAACAGGAAAGCTGACAATTTCACAGAAAATTGGTATTAGAGAAGTGGGGTCATTGCTGCAACTATATTTGACCATATGGTTCAGTGGTGTTTGAAGTGGTTTGGAGAGGATTTTGGAAATCTGGGTTAGAGAAACCCTAAAATGTTGTACAAGATAGATGTGTGATTCTACTCGGGGTTCAGAAGACCAGAACTGCAATAGAAACTTAGGCAGCAAAGGCCAGGCTCATGAGATTTCAGATGAGGACTATATTGGGAAATGAAAAGAGGCCTTAATGATACATTCTGGCAAAGAACTTGTCAACATTTTGAATCTTTGTCCGTGCCCTGAGACTTGCAGAATACTGAAAAGCTATGAACAAATTGATCTGGTGGAGAAAGTTTCAACTTCTGGACTGTGGCTTGGGTGCTTCTGGCTGCTTTTAACCAGATAGTGGAAAAAGAATAAAAGCAGAACAACAACTATATGTAAAGCTGGGGCCAAAGGGGTTTTGGCTTCTGAAGAGATTAGTGTCATTAAATAAAAATACCAGGTACTTTGAACTAGGACAAGAGGAAAGCTGCCTTGAGGGCTATCTCATGAATCAACAAGACCCCGTGTACCATCACTACCTTTAACACCACCACAGGCTCAAGGGTGTAGAAATATAAGCTTTTATTTGAGAAGAGCACTCCTGGGGTCCCAGCTTGAGAAGGACCTTGGATTTGGTTGCCCAGGATTCATTCCATCATGCTCAACCATCAAGGACTTGTGGTTTGAATAGGCCTGGCTTATGCTTGAGTGGGCGGTAGACAAGAGTTTCGTTCACATAATACAGGTTATTCAGGCATGCAGAATGCAGGAGTTTGGGGTTTCAGAGGACTTTTCAGATTTCAGATGAAGTCCTGAGAGGCCAAGCAATGTGCCCCCAATAGGGTCATGTATACAGCTATAGGGATTAAGCTGAATGTTCAGTGGAGAGCTGAGGAAATTGAAGATGCCAGGAACGTGTGTCTGCTGAGAAAAGCTGCAGGCTGAGAGTTGAAATAGCCAAAGAAAGACATATAGCTGCAGCCAGAAATGCCCTAAAGCTGGGACTTCCCAAGGCCTTTGAAGCTCCCATCTCACCATCATCTGCACCAGTGCTGCATGTGGAGATGTAGAACCTGATGTTCGCTCTGTTGAGGTTCAACATTTTGGTCCAGTTTCTTTCTATACCTCAATTTCTCCCTTTTGGAATGGAGATGTTTACCTTGTGATCCTGTGTCTTACAATTAAGTAACTTGCTTTGTGAATTTTACAGAAATTCATAGCTAAGAGTTTGCCTCAAATCTTGGAGGAGACTAACTTACAGTTCAAAGAAATGCTGGGATCTTTGAGATATTTGGAAGCAATGACTGCATTTTCAATTGAATGATAGTTGTGCCATGTTATGTGGAATTTTAAACTTATCTGGATATTAAGTATGGTTTAAGCAGATACACACGGGTGTCAAGTTGACAAGGGGTAGACTGTGGTTCAGCTTAATTGTCAGCTTGATTGGCTTAAGAATCATACAATAGATTAATAAAACATACTTCTGAACCTGTGTGGGTGGGTCAAGGCATAACCTTGGGACCTGTATCTAACCCTAGGCCCTTCCTCTCTAGCACTATTCCTTTCCCTGACCACCAGGAGATGAGTAGCGTTCTTCTATTAAGCCCATTTGCCAGCATCTTTCTGCCTTGAAGCTAGCTTACCATGAACTAAATCCCCTGAAAACATGAGCAAAAGAAATCATTTCGTTGTTGAAGCCATAGGTACTAGGTATATGGTTTAGCAACGGGAATATTAACCAACACAGTATTGTAGGTGACTCATAGATGGATAAAAATGTAATTCCTACATTTTCTCCCTACAAGTGGTATTGAAAAGGAAAGTATGTTAATAGTAATAAGGGGACAGGTGATAGATGGGATGAAAAGGTTGCCAAAAAGAATTCAAAGGATGTAATAAGGGCCAGGGAGATGGCTCAGTGGAATAAGCACTTCCCTGGCAAGTGCAAGGACCTGAGTTCAATCCCTGGTTCCAAAAAAAACAAAAACAAAAACAAAAAAAAAAAAACAAAGGATGTAATAGAATAGTAGAAATTATACTCTTTTCTAGCAAGTGCTTACAAGTCTTTGCTTTTGTAACCTTCACAGTATCACTATAAAAATATTTTGTTAATATCTGATCTCATTTAATGATGCTCAGAGTCATGCAGCTAGTACTTGAGTTCCAGAAACTGAATACAATTCTCATGTACTTGGCAT